CCTCCTCCTCCGTTGCTGGCGTGATGGCGCCGTTCAGCCTCGGGTATATCGATCGCCGCCTGAGTCGCGAACACGGTCGTACCGGCCGCTGTCGGCGATCCACCGGCGGCGGCGGCAGCCGCGGCCTGCGGCAAGAGCGGCACCCCCCAGAACAAGCTCGTGTTCGTGCTAGCCTCCACCATGGACTTTGTTCGACTGTACGAGGCCTCCGATGGCGGCGGCATTGCTTGCTGTGCCCATGCAGTGTCCCCGGTCGCCTTCGCTGCGCCGCCGGTCGACACCGGACTGGCGGCAGCGGAGGGCGTCGGCACGGATATGAGCCGCGATTGTTGCTGCTGCTGCTGCTGCTGCTGCATAGGCTGGTGATCCTGCTGCTGATCTCTCATCGTGACCTGCAGTCGGTGAAGCTGCTGTGCCAAGGACGAGAGCTGCCGCTGCTGCGAGAGGAAGTACGTCCTCGCCTCCGGCGCCAGCGCGAGCAGGTCAAGGCTACTCCGTGGTGTCCAAGCCGGTGCCGCCGGCGACGACGAAGGCAACTCTTCTACCTTCTCGGGCAACAACGGAGGGGCGGAGCTCGAAGCCTCTCGTCCTTCCACGGCCGCCGTTGGGTGACTGCTACCCCCCCCCCCGGAGGACAACTCGCGGAACCCTTCCTCCTGGGACCGCCAAACGTCTCCTCTTCTCTCGAGCGGTCCTTGACGACGGCGGCCATCCCCCGGCCGTGTAGCCCCCTCCCCGGCACCACCCGGCGCTGATGCGCGAGGGCCACTGCCTCCTCCCAAACCGCGCTTGGCTGGCGACGTGGAGTGGTGTATTGCGTGGGAAAGGATTTTCTCCGGGCTGTTGATTGCGCTCGTGTGGCCGGTGGCTCTGGCGGGAGGCGAGTCAGCCTTGCTCGCCGCGGAGCGCGGGCTGTGGACAACAGGCTGCCGGAGGGAGAGTGGGCGAGAGGGGGGGTATGGGCCGTGGGGCGTAACGGTCGCGTTGCTGACTTCGGTGCGGTGCAATCAGAGCCCGGGCGGGTCTGTCTCCTAAAGGAGAGCGCTACAGACCGGCAGCGTGCCACAACAGCAACAACAGCAGCAACAAATAAAACAGCAAACTCACGTACTTCAAAAGCCATGCTGCTAAGTATATGGTATGACAGCCTTCTGAACATGACAACCCGAGTGAGCTACGCATTCTAGCTTCGCAACGCCGAACAGACTAATCAACGCCATTCGAAAGTCTACCATCGGTACACCATCCGACACGATAACCCACCTTTGTGGGCGCCGCTATCGGTACGGGGGGGTGGAGCAGCGGTCTGTCCTGTTGCATCTCCGTCGGTCCCTCGTTCTCTCGATCTTCGGGCGTCGGTTGGTTGTGATATCTGCTGTGCCACCTTTGGGTGGCGCCGATCGCACGCGGCGGTGGCGGCCGTTGCTGCGGCGACGGTTGAAGGGGCATTCGCGTCGCGGATGGCGAGGGGACGAACGGGGGCGCGGTTGCGCCGTTCTCGGCCTGCTGCGTGCCCCGGTACCTGATAGAGACGGGCAGAGAGGAACGCGAGTGCAGGCATGTACGCCGGACACAAATCAAGAACTACAACCTCATGCATTGAGTGAACGTATTTGGAGTATCGATAGGGAAACATGGGCACAAAAACCTGTCCGAAAGGCTGTTCGTCAACCCCGCGTTATGCGCTGCGCGCATACCGTCTACCGCGAGGCGTGTGAACCCCCGCACCACAGATGCGGTCATAATCTGCCGCTGGCACATGCCACCTGCGCAGAAAACCACAGAGAAAAGAGCGCTATTTAGATCGAACACGGCCTGTTTTCAAATGCCACCGATGATAGAACAAATAAGGCGTGTTGTCTATGTTGCCGGGAAAAAAAAAGTATTCTCTTCGCACCTTCCCCTCACCCTCGCGAGCGCGCGTCCGAACGCCCCTCCCGCCGCCGTCAGACTCGACACGCGACGCAACCTCGCTATCACGACCGCGCGGTTGGCGCCGCCCGCCGCTCCCCCCTCCCGCCCCCCGCCCCCCACCGAAACATCCACATCCGCAGAGAAATCTAGCTGCTCGAACCCGACGGAAGAGACACGCATAACCCCCACTCCCCCTCCTTCCGCAGTCGTCGTCGCCGCCGCCGCCGCACTAACCGCGCACGCCTCGTAGCACACCGGCGTGCCCCCGCCGACACCCCCG